ATGGTTAACGATAAGTTGAGTACAGACAAACGTGGTTCAAAATACAAGGAAAACACTCAATGAGAATCAATTCACTGTATGGAATGTGTTACAAAGATTATTGGATATATCTGCATTATTTATAAATTACATTCTATAATCTTTTATCAGTAAGATTTAGAGTAAACTGACATATGTACAAGTATATATATGTCATTATTGGATTTGGTCATCAAATATTTACCAACACACCCTTAGCAGAAGGTGAACAGGGTAAAGGAACCTAACTCTGGTTCTGACACAATATGGAATAAAGAGCCTTTTTTATCCTTGATCTTTTCACTCCTGTAAACTGGTTCCCAAAGCCACTGCCATAATGTGTGGGTCACAACTGAGAAACACACCAGTGGAAGCTCTGCCTCCTGCTGTCCTCCCAACGCCACGTCATAGCACGCTCCACTTAGCGCAAGGGCACAGCCACGTAGGGCTCCGAGCCCTTCCTCTCCACAGGCAATCCAAGGCCCTTCCTGCCGGGTCTCCATATCCTCTGCTTCGGAGCCTCTTCCCCCAGCTCACTCCTAGCTTATCCCAATACTTCAGAATTCTGCTGGAACATCACCTCCTCAAGAAGCTTCCCCTAACCACCAAGTGCGCTCTCCTGGTGTCTGTTTCGTCACTCTGTGTGTCTTGATAGCACCTATTACAATCTCTCATAGGCTTTAGCTTTAATATCTGTTGTTCCTGTCTTCTTCCTCACCCACAGTAGACCTAGAAGAAACAATGCCACAAGTCTTTGAAACTGCAAGTATGATTGTTGCTGGAGGGGCTCGCACGGAGACTGTACGGAAGTACTTCCCTGAGACGTGGATCTGGGATTTGGTGGTGGTGGGGTAAGTAACTTCCGTTATATGCAAGATGCAACAATATAGATCCCTCATTTGAAAGAGAGAAAAAATTCTTCATTGTGATTCTGATAGTGGCTGTTAATGAATTGCATGGAGTGGGAGGCGCTGGCCTAAAATAGGAACACAGGTGACTGCTGACCGGTGTGGCCCTGGGAGTTTTACTAAGGTTGGCTCCCATGTGCTGTGTGGGATCACGTGGCCCACCACAGTTCTCGTTTAAAGCATGGTGAAAGCTCCCTTGAAACAGGGAGCTGCTCGTGATCCGGCCTGCCTTCTACTCTCTCACCGACTGGTCACGTGCTCAGTCAGCACAGGTCGCCTGCCAGGCGGTTCCAGGCAATTGCATACACCAGTGATCAAAACAGACAGGAGCTTTGTCTTCATGCAGAGCCTATTCAGCAGCGGGAGACAGCAAACAAGAGTTATATTAACAAAGTAAACTCTACAATGTGTTGGAACAAAAAAATATATAGATCCCTAACTATAGTCAATTCTTTGCTAATTTTCCTGTTTTTATTGTATGTATGTACGGTGTACAACACAATGTTTTAATATATATAGAAAATGATTACTGCAATCAAGAAAACTAACCTATCTATAATCTCACATTGTTGCCTGTTTTTCTGTGAGTGGCAAGAGTACCTCAAAATCTATCCTCTTGGCCAATTTCCAGTATACGATATAATATTATAACTATAACCTTCATGCTGTACCTTAGATCTCTAGATTTATTCACCCTACAAAACTGCAACTTTGTAGTCTTTGACCTGCATCTCCCCACCACACCCCCATGATTCTATTCTCTGTTTCTATGTGTTCAATTTCTTTTAGATTACACATACAATTGAGATCATGTAATACTTTTCTTTCTGTGTCTGGTTTATTTCACTTAGCATAATGTCCTCCAGGTTCATCCATATTGTCACAAATGGAAGGATCATTTCACTTTTAAGGCTGAATAATATTCCATTATACAAACACTCACACTCACACACACACATTTCTTTATCCATTCACCCATGGGTGGATACTTAGGCTGTTTCCCTATCTTGGCTACTGTGAACAATGCTGCAAATGAACACAAGAGTGCACATATTAAATATATGCACTCTGCAAGGTGCCTACTTCATTTCCTTTGGGTATATATCTAGAAGAGGGATTTCTGGATCACACAGTAGTTTCATTTTTAACTTTTTAAGGAATTTCCATACCATTTTCCATAATGGCTGTACCAATTTATATTCCCACCAACAGTGTGAACACCAAGGAGAGTAAGCACACTCCTTACAGAGAAAACCTGGAGTCCAGATTTTGTCACTGGAATGGAGTAGGAGGACATGGAAAAGGGGAAGCTCCCAAACTCCTTTTCAGGCTCCTGGAGGCCTTTTGTTTATCTGATCCTTCTGCTCCCAGACTTCAGCTAGTTAGAAACCAGCCCTCAGGCAGCAACCCAGAAAGTGTGTAATCAAACCCCTTCCAGGGAGAAACTGTGAGCTCTTGACTAATTTTCCAGTATTGAAGTACTTCTTTTAAACACATTGGTATTTTCAGGAGTGCTTTAGTGTAAATACTCTCTTACAAAGTCACACCAAATGGCCTCAAAGCTAAGAAATTTTGCACAAGTTTAACTCTAAGATTTCTTAAAAAGAAATTGGGCATAAGGACCAAATATAACAAAATACTGCAGAGATAAACACGTGTAAAAGATCCTTTATTGGTCAACAATCTTGAGTGAAGCACAGATTCAGTCAGGCCAACTATACCCAATAGTAATAGAATTAAAAACTATAAAGCAACACTCAGTGGAACAGCATTTTAGAAAAAAGAACTTAAAGGCAATCTCAAATTACATGTTAAGTTGATAGCTATTTTCTCTGTAAAAGATTATGCTACAACTGTATGTCTATAGGAGATTCTGATAAAGACTAGCGCTGAAAACAGAATTGGAAGAAAGGGAGGACCTATATATTCCCATCTCAAGCCTCGATTATACTTTCAATTATTGATATTTCTATTGAGTACATTCAAGTATGACAACAGTATCTTTTATAGAGGTTCTCGCCCCAGAAAGTATTTATTTAACTGCTTTCTCTCTGTTCTTCCCACCGCCCTCCTCCCAGCTCTTCAGGTGTGGCTGAGGTAGGGGTATCCATCCCTGACACCATCACGGAGTGGAAGGCAGGGGCCCTCTGCCTGTCCCAGGACACAGGACTTGGTCTCTCTCCCACTGCCTCTCTCCGAGCCTTCCATCCCTTCTTTGTGGAGCTCACCATGCCCTACTCTGTGATCCGCGGAGAGGCCTTCACACTCAGGGCCAGTGTTGTCAACTACCATCCCAAATGCCTTTTGGTAAGGAGCTCTTCCTAATTGTATACAAGGTAGCAGTCAAGTAAATTAAAAGTTGCATGCCTAGGAGTACTAACTCTTGTGTCCAATATGTGCTAACTAGAAGAAGAATACTACCAGATATTCATAAGCTATGTGAGTTACAGTTGCTATCTGAAAATAACAAATTGCAACTTAAAACAAGTTTGTATCCCTTATCATGACCATTTAAAGTTCAGCAGTTTGTGTAATATGAAGATTTCTCACAAGGACAATAAAAAATTAGTATTCTTTATCCTCGTGTCTTATTTAGATTCTTCACGGTTTAGGCCTCTACATTCTCATATATTTAGTTTTTCACAGCTCATTCATCAAATTAAACTTAATTTTATAAGTTATTCATGAGCATCTTACCTCTGCTGAAACCATGACTCTTTATAAATCTTGTATACTCTGCTGGGAGAGCTAAGGAAATGGGCAAGGTCCCAGACCAAAGAAATAGAGCAACCAGCCATATTTACCTTTCCTCTGTTTGTTCCCACCACACGAAAGAGCACGTCACAACAAAATACTCGGATTTAGATGTCAGATCCACCTAAATGTACTAAAGGTGCTTGGTCTTTGCTTGTACCATCATTAATATTAGGGAACCTGAAATCTATCCAATCCCTCAGTATGCTTTACTTCAATCCCATTCTTCCTCTGGTCTCCTATTCCCTCTAATCTGTCTCACATGTGGTTTCAGATCTCTGTGCATCTGGAAGCCACTCCCGCCTTCCTAGCTGTCCCAGTGGAGAAAGAACAAGAGACTGTCTGCATCTGTGGTGATGAGCAGCAAACTGTGTCCTGGGAAGTAACCCCAAAGTCACTAGGTGAGGGGCAGACTCCTGGAAATAATTTTCTACTCAAAAATTGTACGTATCCATGGGAACCTCAGGAAAAGACCCCAGATGGTACAATATTTTTTCACTGTCTTCCATTGTAGGGTTCCTAGAAGGATATCCCCAAACATCTCCACCTTGGATTCTCAGTATCATTAGCCTCTCATTTATGCTGTTTCCATTCCTGCTCTAGTGTTTTCATAGAACAAAAATAAAACAGAGCATTGATCATTTACAAATCTTGAGTTCGGAGGCATAAATGAAGGAGGAAGATGATATTCATCTTTATTGGTTCTTTTTTCTTCAGGAAATGTGAATTTTACTGTTAGCGCAGAAGCACTATCGTATGCAGAGTCATGTGGGACTGAGGTGCCTAGAATCCCTGAATATGGAAAGAAAGACACAATCATTAAGCTCCTATTGGTTGAAGTAAGTGAGCCTGCCCATTTGACAGGTCACACTGAGTCACAAAAAACAATGGTTAACACAGTTGGGGTTTCAACTTTTAGGTATGAAGACCTAAATAATATATGGTCAATAATATCCATAATAATAAAATAATAATATACTTGGGTAATATAATTATTATTATGGATGTTTCAGAATAGTATTCTCTTTTATCTACCTATCTACCCATCTATCATCTATTTCTCTTGATTTATTTTCTTAATTTTTCCTTTACTTTCTTATTCACCAACCTGTCCCCTTCATATCACTTATACATACAGAGTTTGTTTATATAATGCAGTTCAAATTCCTCCCTTCACTATCTAGAAATCTGTGGTTCCCCTATCAACACATGTGTCCTGAAAGTGGGTCCCTTCTCACCTCTAACTTCTCTTTCTCTTACTTAAAGCCTGAAGGAATAAAGAAGGAAGTGACATTCAACTCCCTGCTTTGTCCATCAGGTAAGAGTCAACCTTCCTAATTTTAAAAATATTGGCTAAAGTTTATATAACATTTGAAGTGCAAAGAACTTTTATATATTATTTTTATACTTTCCCTATGAGGTAAGGCCTGAAGTACCATGAACACATTTGACAGAAGAGAAAAATGGTTCGTAGAGAGGCCAAGAAATTTGATCGGGAGAAAACCCTTAGCCCATGCATTCCGAGTCTTGATCTCTTGCAGCACTTATGTAAACACCAAAATGTCTTCCTGAATAGTGTGTGGTGTGGGCATAGGCAGAAAGTGACTGGAGTCAGAATGAATGTTGCCAAAGGGGCTATTTCCTTGAATTATTACCAATATAACATATGGATAGCTGAATTCAGGCCATTCCAACACCGAGTTTTGCATAGACAGTATTATTTGGTAACGGGACCATGCCATTTCCCAAAGGAAGAATTGTTGTCATCTTTACCATTATTATCATTTTAATATTTGATGCTAATCCTGTAGCTAATGCACTATCAGTCATTTGAAAAGGCACTGAAAAAACTCACAGTAAAAAATGTAGCTTTACCTTCATGAAGAATTTTCTAGTCTAAACAAAAACATTTATAGCAATTTAGTACACTAAGAAATGTCCTAACACAATGTGTTCTCATCCCAAACCAATGTCAAATCAAGCCCGTACATATGTCCATTGCCTTTCTCTGTCTATCCACTAATGTCTTTTTCCTATGCTTTTTATATTGTCAAGACTTAATGTATAAAATGTGTTCTAAAAACATTATTTCCTGGTTTTTAGCTTTGTTTCTACATTTATGTGCATGTAGTGCTTACCACCTGTTCTTTTATCATGATTTCTCTTCCATTTCTGAGTTATTCATTTTGATTTATCCCTTTGGTGCCATTTCCAGTCATCAAGCAATTTTATTAAAATTTATTTTCATTACCCATGTAATTATACAAAAATAAATTCTCCTTTAATAAAACAAAACAGAACATCCTATTAAAGGCTGATGTCATTCCCTCATAATATTTTTCAATAACTTAATGATCATCCCTGGGCCTTTAGAAATAAGACATGCAGACATGTGTTTGTGTATGTTACTTAAATTGTATTACACAAATTATATAACTTTCATTCTATAACTCTTTGTTCTTTACTGAGCAATCTGTCTTGGAGATCTCTCTATGTTAAATTATGGATCAAATCATTACTTTCAATTGCTTTTAATTCTGTAATATCAATATATCACAGTTCTGCTTGGTCTTTTAACCTTTCCATATTGGTTTTTCCACCTATTTGTTAATAAGAAATTAATTAATTAGTGATAATAATAGCCTCCTGTGTACATATGCAAGTATACCTAGGGTAGATCCCAAAATGTGAAATTCCTAAGGCAGGAGATGTATGCATACATATGCACAGTATTTTTGTTTGCTTTTTGGTTGTTTAATTTTACTGCAAATTGACAATTTATAATTGTATACCCCTGTGGCATACAAAGTGATATTGTGATTTATGAATACAATGTGAAATAATTAATAAAGCTAATTAGCATATCTATAACCTCAAATACTTATTTTTTGTGGTAAGAATATTTGAAATTTATTCTTTAAGCAAGTTTGAAATATACAATACATTATTAACTATGTTCATCATACCCTGCAGTGAATCTCAGGGAGGAGGGGGAAGAAACTTATTCCTTTTCTCTGAGACTTTATATCCTTTGAACATCATCTCCCTACCTGCCCACCCACATTCTCTGTAAGCATCATTCTACTCTCTCCTTTTATGAGTTTGACTGTCTTACCTTCCACAGACAAGTGAAAATATGCAAAATTTATAGTTCTATAACTGGCTTAAATCATTTAACATACTGTCCTCCAAGTTCATTCATTGTCACAAGTAACTGAATGTCCCTTTCTTGTTGTTGTTGGAGACAGTCTCACTCTGTTGCCCTGGCTAGAGTGCAGTGGCAATGCTCATAGTTCACCCACAACCTCAAACTCCTATGCTCAACTGATCCTCCTGCCTCAGTCTCCTGAGTAGGTGGGACTACAGGCCAGCACCATCATGCCCAGCTAATTTTTTTCTATTTTTAGTAGAGATGGGATCTCACTCTCGCTGAGGCTGGTCTCGAACTCCTGACCTCAAGCAATCCTACCACCTCACCATCCCAGAGTGCTAAGATTACAACTGTGAGCCATCATGCCTGGACAAATGGCCTTCCTTTTTAAGGCTGAATAGTATTCCATAGTGTATATATACCACATTTTCTTTATTCATCTGTTGATGGACACATGATTTCATTATGAATAGTGCTACAATGAAGATAGAAATGCCGACATCTCTTTAACAAATTGATTTTAAATATTTTAAATAAATGCCCAGAGGTGAGATTGCCAAATCATGTAGTTATTCTATTTTTAGATTTTTAAGGAACCTCTATATAGTTTTCCATAATGGCTATACTAATTGACATTCCCACCAACAGCGTGCAAAGGTGCCCTTTCTACAGATCTTTGCGAACACTTGCTGTCTTTTGTCTTTTTGATAATAGCCATTCTGACAGGTGTGAGGTGATTATCTCATTGTGGCTTTAATTTCCATTTTCCTAATGATAACTGATGTTGAGCATTTTTAATATATCTGTTGACCATTTGTATATCCACTTTTGAGAAATCTCTTTTGAGGTCCCTTGACCATTTTTAATTGGGTTATTTGTTCCTTGCTGTTGCATTGTTTGAGTTCCTGAATATTTTGGATATGAACACTTTATCAAAGCTTATATTTAAGTCTTTAATACATTTTGAGTTGAATTTTGTATATAATATTATATAAGAGGACAATTTTTTTCTTCTGTATGTGGATATTCAGTTTCCCTAACACCATTTATTGAAGAGACTATCCTTTTCCCATTGTGTTTTCTTAGCAATGTTGAAAATCAATTTCTCGTACATACAGGGATTCATTTCTGGGCTCTCTATTCTATTCTATTGATCAATATATTTATATTTATGCCAGTACGATGTGCTCTTAATTACTATAGCTTTGTAATATAGTTTGAAATCTGGTAGAGTGATGTCTACAGGTTTCTTGTTTTCATAATGATTGCTTTGGCTATTCAGGATTTTTTGTCATTCCATATGAATTTTAAGATTGCTTTTTTCTAACTCTGTGAAAAATGAAATTGGAGTTTTGACAGGAATTACATTGAATCTGCAGATTGCTTTGGTTAGTAGGCACATTTTAACAATATTAATTCTTCTAATCCATCAACACTGGATATTTCTCCATTTATTTGTGCCTTCTTCAATTTCTTTCATCAGTGTTTTATTGCTTCAATGTACATTTCACCTCCTTAATTAAACTTATTCCTACATATTTTTTTCATAGCTATTGGGAATGGGATTGTTCTCTTGATTTTTTTCCAATAGTTTATTGTTAGCGTATAGAAATCCTACTGATTTTTATGTCCTGCAACTTTACTGTATTCATTTATTAGTTCTAACAGTTTTTCAGTAAAGTCTTCAGGATTTTCTATGTATGAGATCATGTCATCACCAAAAGTGAAAATTTTACTTCTTTCTTTCCAATTTGGATGCTTTCTATTTATTTATTTTTTCTTATCTGATTTCTCTTGCTGGTATTTCCAGTACTACTTTGAGAAGAAATGGCTAGAATGGGCATCCTTGTTTTATTCCAGATCTTAGAGGAAAGACTTTTAATTTTTCACTGTTGAGTACATTGTTTCCTGTAGGCTTTACATCTATGGCCTTTATTGTGTTGAGGAACATTCTTCTTTCTATACCTAATTTGGTGAGAGTTTTTGCCATAAAAAATTCTTAAATTTTGCCAAGTGCTTCTTCTTTATCTAATGAGGTGATCATATGATTTTTTCCCTTTATTCTGTTAATGTGATAGATACTGATTTGCATATGTTGAACAATTCTAGCATCCCAGGAAGAAATTACCCTGTCATCACGGTAAATGATCATTTTAATGTGTTGTTGAATTGGATTTTCTAATATTTTTTTTAAGAAATGGGATTTCACTATGGTTCCCCACATTGGACTCAAATTCCTAGGCTCAAGTGATCTTACCAACTGAGCCTCCAAGTAATTGGGAATAAAGGCATGTGCCACTGTGCCTGGATGGTTTGCCATTATAGTATTCCATTGAGAATTTTTGTATCTATATTCATCAAGGATAGTGGCCTGTAATTTTCTTTTCTTGTAATGTCTTTGTCTGGCATTGGTATCAGGGTAATGCTGGCTTCATAAGTTGAGTTTGGTAGTATTGCTTCCTCTTCAATTTGTTGGCAGAGTTTGAGAAAAATTGGTATTAGTTCCCCTTGAAATGTTTGGTAGCAGTGATACCATCAGATATTGGGCTTTTTGTATAGGAAAATTTTTATTACTGTTTCAATCTCTTTACTCATTATTGATCTGTTCAGATTTTCTAATTCTTCATGATTCAGTCTGGTAGTCTGTAATGGTCTAGGAATCTATCCATTTCTTCTAGATTATCCAGTTTGTTGGAATGTAATTCTTCGTAATAGTTATTGTTTCATAATAGTTTTTCCTATTATGAAATAGTTGTGATACTTTCTATTTCTGTGGTATTAGGGGTAATGTCTCCTCTCTCGTTTCTGATTTTATTTATTTGAGGCTTTGTTCTTGTTGATTGTCTAGCAAAACATTTTTCAAATTCATCTTCTGAAAAAAAACAACTCTTAATTTTATTAGTCTTTTATATTATTTTCTAGTTTCTATTTGATTTATTTCTGCTCTCATCTATTATTTCCTTCCTTGTGTTAATTTTGGACTCAGTTTATTCTTCTTTTTCTAGTTTTCTGGGGAATGATGTTTAGTTCTTTACTTGATATTTTTCTTCTTTTTTCATGTAGGTGTTTATTACTATAAAGATTCCTTTTAGAACTGTTTTTGCTGTGTTTCATAAATTTTGGTATGTTGTGTTTCTGTTTTCATTAGTCTTAAGATATTGTTTAATTTCTTTATTACCCCACTAGTTGTTCCGAAGTATGTTATTTAATTTCCATGTATT